TCCCTGAGGGACTTAATTGCTGGGCAGAGGGCTGTGGGGACCATGGTCTTGGGGAACATCTAGCTCAATTGGTATAACACAGTTTATAAAGACAATATGCTACATTCTACCTTGGTGAGTAGCGTCTGGGGTCTTAGAAGTCTGTGAGAAGCCATCTAAGATACTCCACTGGTCTCATCCCTTCAGGAGCAAGGGAGAACGAAGAGAACAAGATACAAGGAAAAAAATAAGTCCAAAGGACTAATGGACCACAGCTACCAAGGCCTCCACCAGACTGAGTCCAGTACAGCTAGACGGTGCTTGGCTACTACCACTGACTGCTCTGACTGGGATCACAACAGGGGGTTCTGGACAGAGCTGGAGAAGGATGTAGAACAAAATTGTAACACACAAAAAAAGACCAGATTTACTGGCCTGACAGAGACTAGAGAAACCGCCAGAGTATGGTCCCTAGACACCCTTTTAGCTCAGTAGTGAAGTCACTCCCGAGGTTCACTGTTCAGCCGGGGATTGGACAGCCCCATAAAACAAAATGGGACTAATGAGGCACAGCAGTCCAGGAACAAGGACTAGAAGGCAGATGGGGACAGGAAAGCTGGTGATAGGGAACCCCAGGTTGAGAAAGGACAGTGTTGACATGTAGTGGCGTTCTTAACCATTGTCCTAGGGAAATATGTATACTGTTTAATGAGAAACTATTTTTCCGTAAACCTTCATCTAAAGTGAGAATAGTAGCACAACTAGAAGAATGTAATCGATGTCACTGAATTGTACATGTAGAAATTTTTGAAATGGTGTATCTTTGGCTATGTATATCTTCACCAAAAAAAAACAAAGTTCCTCAAAGGCCGAGAAGGAAGCGTGTTAACACATCGTGGAGTTGTTAACCAATGTCATAAAACAATACGTGTACTGAATGTTTAATGAGAAAATATTTGTTTTGTAAACCTTCACCTAAAGTACAACAAAAAAAAAAAAATTAAAAAAAAATTTTTTTCTAGGGAAACACACTCAAAAGCTATTTCAATAAGCCTGGTCAATTATCTTCATTTACAAACACCAAAAGCAACAGAATCCACATTTTAACAAGCTCCCAGAGGGATTCTGACATAAACTGAAAATTTAAGAACATTGCCTTAAGAGTTGTATGTGTCCCAACTTGTTTGTAAACCCTTTTAATACAGGAATTTTGTGTGTGTGGTGGGGACATTGGGGAGCTTGGAAACTAGCCCCATGCCAAGTCTTCAGTTTTCAGTGTCAGGCACTGGGGACTAGTGGGACCTGGTTGGGGAGGGGGCCTTGGAGGGGGATTTTAACCTCCTGCATAATCCTGATCACATGCCTCCATTTTCTGATATGTGCAATTGATGATGTCTTCTTAGTCTTATATACAGTGCTTACATAAACCAAACTAAACCAAAACCAAACCCATTGCCATTGAGTCAATTCTGACTCATAGCAGTCCTATAGTACAAATGAAGCTTCGAGACAAGTCCCCTGGCCTTTTTTCCAACCAGATTGTTGCTCCTAATTCTATTCTATACAGAAATTCTAGAGCAACCACTGCCAGGGACACAAAGATTAATAAAACTGATTCCTGTTTTCAAGGAACTTCAAGTCTAGTAGAGGAGAGAGATACATAAGAAATAACTAGCCAGTAATCAAAGCATATAAGAGGTACAGAAGCACTGATGAAGTCAGGTAACTTAATATTTGAGCTGAGTTTAAAAGAATTAAAGGAATCAATTCAACCAGGCAGGGAAGAGTAATCCAGTCACAGGGAACTGCATGTGCAAAGGCATGGAGGTGTAAAAATAATACTGTCTGGATTTGTCAGGGAATGAATGCAAGTACAGTCATTTGGTGAAAGAGTGGTGGGAGCGGAGCTTTCTCCCTGGCCATCAGTGGGAGGAATCAGACTCTGATGGGGTAAATTTGTAGAATACACCCTTTATGCCACTCTCTGTCTCCTCTTTGCTCAGAAGTTAGCTCCTGACCCCACAGCTACAGCCTCTTGCTTTCTCAAGCACAGCAGCTTCTTGAAGCCCCCAGGGCTGCAACCTGGAGTCCTGGCTCTGGCCTCCATCCTTGTTCTAGGGCAGCACCTTTCGAACGGTTTAGACTGCAACCGCCAGTAAGAAATACATTCTGTTGTGACCTAAAGCACACATACACAATATACATAAACTATACCTTCATTACCACCTGCAATGCACTTTGATATTTTGTGTTCTATCTCAAAAGAGAGAGAGAGTTGGGTGAGAGCCACTAAGCTGATCTCACAAACCCAGTGAGTCACCACCTGCAGGTGGAGAAACACTGCTCTAGGACTCACATCTGTGGCTGATTCCAAATCCAGAAGCAGAACAGTGCAGTGGCTAAGAGTATGGACTCTGGAAGCAAACCACTGGAATTTAAATCCTTGTTAACCCATTTATTACCTGTGGGACCTTTGGCAAGTTACTTACCTTTCTATACCTCAGTTTCCTTGTCTGCAATATGGGATAATAAGAGTACCTACCTCATAGGGTTGTTGTGAGGATTAAATGAGATAATATATATGTAAAAGCCTAGAAAATTGCCAGCAGCTTGTAAGTGCTACCTAAGTGGTGGTGGTGGTGTTGTTGTTATTAGTTGCTGTTGAGTTGATGGAGCTTCATGCTGACCACATGTGTCCAGAGTAGAATTGTTCCCTCTGGTTTTCAATGCTGTGACCTTTCAGAAGTAGATCACCAGGACTGTCTTCCAGGGCAACTCTGGATGGGTTCAAACTGCCAACCTTTCAGCTGGTAGTTATGTGCCTAACCATTTGCGCCACCTAGGGATTCCTGCTTAAGTATTAATGCTGCTATTATTATTATTGTCTCTGATCTCTCCTGTTACACCATCCTAACATAAAGCTAAATTGTACCATTCATGAAAAAAAATATAATACCAAAGGGTTTATTTGCAAAGCTATACAAAACTACATAGTGTGTGCGGCAGAGTGGGGACACCCCCAGGGATCCTGTTTCTCCGCAGGCTATCCCACCTCTTCTGTTTGGGGAGGGGGCTAGGCTTCTTCCCCAGCCATGGCTCAGTGTTCTGGTGAAGATGGACCTAAAACGCCCATCTCTGCTTTCCACTAATGAATACTTCACTTCTTCACTCACTTTTTGTAACCCACCTAGAATCCCAAATCCCCAAAGTGAGGAGGACTTTCTTCTGACTATGCGTGTTGGGGACCATATTAAAATGTCAGTGATAAAAACGACAATTGGAGTTCTTATCTCATCAGCTCAGTGCACTCAATCCAATAAGGGAAAGCGTACAAAGGAGTTCCAAAAAAAGCAGTGCACACCTTTCAGTGATGCCAGAGGCTGGCATGATTCAACCCATCTCTCCCAGCACCTCAAATGATCTGATGGCAAAACTAAAGGAATGCAGGTGGTATCTGCCACATGATGGGTGCAAGTCAAATTTCAAGAACATTCTATCAAACATCCAAAGGACAAGTTCAGGAAATAAAGAACTGAAGACTTGGAGTAAATGTTTTCATTTGTCATGATCAAAAATGGATGGTTAAAACACACACACTCAAACCCTGGCACTACAACATCTCATCCCACCTGTTCCAGGGTGGAAATGCCAGGCCCTACCCACCCCCTCCTGCTGGGCTTCTGCGTCCATTGCTCCACCCCGGACTCTGCACTGCACCCTGAACTTCTACTGCCCCAGTTTTCAACTTCCCTCAACATGGCGCCTGGGCGCTCAATGTCCAGGCAGTAATGTTAAGAAAAGTAAAGGGCGTGACCTGAGTCCGGAGTGGGCCGTGTTGCAATGTCTGTGAGTTCTTCTCCATCTCCGTTTCCCAACCTGTCTCCTTCTCTACCCTCTCCCACCCCATCATTGTTCCCCGGAAACAAATAGGATGGCTTCACTGGTCAATTCTTCACATTCACAAACACCAAAAGCAGAGGAAACGCCCCTGGGCCACCCTCCCCCTCCCCCCAAACCCCAGTGCTGGGAGAGCAGCCGGTGGCGCAGGGCTGCCTCGGGGACTGCGGAGCTGCTGCGGCTGTCCCGTCTGTTCTGGAAACTTCTTTGGCCTCTGGGCTTTACCTGGAGGCCTCTTCCTTCAGCTCCTTGTTTTTCCGCACCTCCTCCGCGTGCTTGTCCTGGGAAGAAACGGAGGGGAAAGGTCGGGTCACACAAGCCTGCCCCACAATAAAGGGGGGCTGAGGGGCAAGAGAACCGGAAGTAAAGGATGACCCACACCGGAATTGGAGAGCAGTGTATGCAAAGACCACCTGAGAAGGGGCAGAAGGTGGGAGGCAAGACTCATAGGAGACAGATGGGTGAGGCTTGCTAGTGCAGCTCCAGCAGAGCTCATCTCATTGACTTGCCCCCCCCCCGCCGCCAGGGGGACCCTCTCACAGTGTCTTCAGGGCCTATCAGCCTCTCACTCCCTGTCCTCTCACTCCCTGTCCTGGCCCTTCTACAGTTTGGAGACTGATTGTTGCTTGACTTGACACAAGAAGCTGCTCAGCTTGTACTAGATGAGCAGGTGGAGCAACAGGCCTCACTGCAAGCTCCCCATGCAATCTGACTGCAGCTTTTGTTTCTTGTCCATCTCTTTAGTGAAAGTTGTTTTCACCCTTTGGTGAAAGCTTAAAGCAATCGACTGCCAACTGAAAGTTCAGCGGTTTGAAACCACCAGTGGCTCCACAGGAGAAAGATGTGGTAGTCTGCTTCTGTAGAGACTTACAGCCTTGGAAACCCTATGGGGTTGCTATGAGTCAGAATCCCCTTGATGGCAGTGGGTTTGGCAAAAGGTGAAGACTCTTGAAGTATGAATTTCCAGAAGAATTTTTGGAAATGTTGTCCAACTCCAAAGAGAGGACTTTCTTACAAGTGTTGTAAAAGACCTGCTTTTGTTCCACTGCTTAATGAAGCCCCAAAGACTGGGAATCTGACTTCAGAGGCCTACCAGCTGTGTGACCTTGAGTGACTCACCTCACCAATCAGATCTCCCTGTTTTGGTCTTTAAAAGAGAGGGGGTGTATGGAAAGATCTTCTACCTCTAGAATTCTGTGGCTTTAGTGTTCACTTCAGGGGCTTATCATGTTCTGCCTTACATTACTCCTCATTGTGCACACATCTGTTTCTTCTATTAGATGGTGTGTTCCTTGTGGGTAGAGGCCTTGTCTTTTTTATCTTTATAGCTCTCATTTTCTAACATGGCTCCTTGCACATGGTGGGTGCTCAATAAATGTTATCTTTACTGGAGGCTGGCATCATTGCATCCAAATGTCAAGAATTTGCCTGGAGTAGATCCACTGAGACAATCCAGGTTCCCAGGATATACCTTAAGCTACAAACCTGTCCCTGGAGAAGCCCTAGAATTTTCCATGACCCTGGGAGCAGAAAGTGGTATGTCTAGGGCACTGGTTCTCAAACTTTGCTATGTATCAGCATGACCTAGGAAGCTTATTAAACTGCAGGTTCTCAGACACCATCTCTAGACACCATCTCTAGTAGGTCTGGGGTAGGGCCCAAGTATCTGTACTTTTAAACTTTATACCAGGTGAGTCTGGTACAGGTGATCAGTGACCCACACAAATACTGGCACAGAAGGCATTGTTGAAGGTTTCCCCGGCCTTATGTGGAGCAAAAATAACACTCCTAGCTCCCATCCCACCTCCTGCCTTCACCAGGCTGAGTAGAGATCAGTGCCCCAGACAAGTGATGCCCACTAAAATGTTTGCTTCTGACACCTTGCTTCCTTGAGTCTTAACTCACCTCCAAAGCTATTACTCCAGGATATGGGCCTTCACAATCACTCCAACTCTAAATCTACCTCCATTTCCAGGTGAGCTCTATGTGCAAATCCTAAAAGGTTTTTGGATTCCCTTTCCTTGGCCTCCAATGTCCCGTCACTGACAAAAGGCTAGCAGGACAGTTGTGGGCTGGTCTCCTTAAGAGAGGCACTGAAAGAGCCACCTAGACTTGGAGGAAAAAATGCTGGGTTCTAGTACCAGCTCCATTCCATATTAACTGTGTAACCCTGGGCAAATCATTTTACCTTTTCTGACATGGTTTCCTAAACTGTCATATAAGGATAATGTTGGGTCTGGCCTCAATTATTTGTTTTGAATTTTGACTGAGAGCCCATGACCCATCCTATCTCAACTGCAGATTTTCTTTTCTTTCCTCTAAGAATTTGCTCCAAATCATCCTTAAAATAGTTGGGGAAGCCTGAAATCAGACCCAGATCACTTCCCTTTCATATGATTCACTGCTTCCCCTTGGAGGACAAGCATGGTTGGGGGTTGGGGCGGGGGGCGGCTGCCACACATTGGCCAGCTCCAAGGCCTACATAACATTCAGATCCCTTGTGAAGAAAGCCAGATCTTTCTAGTAGCTGTTGCCAAAGGTCTAAGGACTGTTGGTGGATGGGCAGGAAGGAGTAGGGACCACGCTGCTCACCATGGGATGAGGCCACCGATCAGGTCCCTGGAGTCACCGCGCAGCAGGCGGCTCCTGGAAATAAAACACAGAGCTGGAGCTCTCCCAGGAGCTGCAGGAGAAACTGGGGCAGCCTTGAGACTGAGGAAATGAGGCCAGCATGTTCTTAAAAGAATGGGCTGTTATTCTGCTGACACATGAGACCAACCCCAGTCTCTCATGTTTCTCATATTTAGGTGACACCATTTGGTTTATTGACAAAAGGCAGCATATTGGAAAGACCTGTGACTCATTCAGGCCATGTCAAAAGGATTGTAGAGAATCATGTCTCCTGTTCAACGGGCAACTCAGCTTATCATCCCCTTGGCTTAGAGCCAGGAGCTCATGTCAGCATGTTTCATTAAATCAAATCAGTCCATTCAAGGATGAAGCTAGGAAGGTACCATGCTTGTCTATCCCTACTCCTTTGCATTAGGCAGGCTTTCTCTAGAAGATAAGAGGCATAATCTCCCTAAGACAGTGAGAAGTTTCAACTGTGTAACTGTGCAGAATGTCCCCCGAGGAATTCTAATGCTCAGTTCATGTTTCTTGCCTCCCAAGTCATTCCCTGAAACTCTCTAAGGATCCAGCCTAATAGAAATATCCCCATTCCTGTCTGAGGCTGCTTTCTCCCTGAAATGATATGTAGATCCATGTACTCTTGCCATGAAAGAAAGACAGAGTGGCCCAGGAGCCTCGTCTTTGCTCTGGGACCACTTACCTTCTCTTGCAGACGTTCCAACATGGCGGCAAGATGGGCTTCCCGGTTCTCCTTATTGGATTCCATCTTCTGGGCCAGTTTTTCCTTAGCCATTTTAATGAAGTTGTTGTTTTCCTCAATGGCTTTTTGGATCACTTCCCGCTCATGTTCTCGTTTTTCTGCCAGGTGCTTCAAGAGTTCAGCTTCCTGGTACTGGAGAAGCACAAAGGAAAAAAGAGGCCCTTGAGGGTGAGCATGTTGGGGTATATTTTGATCATCCTGGCTTAAAAGCTCCATACCCACAACACAGTTCTCCTTGAGCCTGATCCCTGGCCCATTAGCAGGAAGCAAGGACACTTCCTAGATTCTCCCACAACCTTCACAGCCTTCCACACTGATTTTTCTCAGACTTTTTCTTTTAAATGCCCTTGGATTTCTTTTTCTCATTGCCTCATTTATTCATTTGTTTAAAAATACTAAATGACCTTATTCTGTGTACCAGGCACTATTCTAGCAACTTGGAAAATAAAGTAAGAATAAGACATATATAAATAACTATAACCCAGAGTAGCATGTGACATAAGCCTTAGAGGTAGAGAGAAAGTGCTATAGCAATTCAGGACAGGAGGAGATTATTTTCTGCTGAGGAAAAGCTTACACAAATATGGTATCTGAGTTAGGCCCTGAAGAGTCAATAGGAAACATCAGAAGTCATGCTAAACCAAGAAAACCAAACCCGTTGCCGTCGAGGTGATTCTGACTCATGGCAACCCCATGTGTTACAGAGTAGAACTGCTCCATAGGGTTTTCTTGTCTGTAAGCTTCCCAGAAGCAGATTGCCAGATCTTTCTTACATGGTGCCACTGGGTAGGTGCAAACTGCCAACCTTTGGGTTAGGAGTCCAGCGCCAACCATTTGCGCCACCTAGGGACCTAGAAGGCAGGCTAAGGGGGTGAAAATATACCAAACCATGTCCTTCTCCTTACCTCCCCTAATTAAGGAACCCTTTCCTTAATTGTGTAGCCTTTCCCTAAATCCTTAATATTTTTCTATGTCTTATTCTTATCATTGTGCATATAAAGCCACCTCTTGGAGTTTTGTAGTACAGTGTCTTACCCACTAAACTGTAAGCTCCTAGAGGAGGCCAGGGCTCTTCTTTGTTTCCCTCAATTGTGCCTCATTTTCTGCCCTGCACGTGGAAGGTGCTGTCTAAATATAGGTTGATGGTGACTGAAGCCCAGCTCAAGACCATTGCCTCTCTTTTCCAACTCTCTCCCCGCTCATGCTGGGATGAAGGAAAGAAAGGGCAGCCCTTACCTTCCGTCGCTCTTCAGCTGCTTCTAGTTTCTTCTGGATCTCCTCCAGTGATGGATCTCGCCGCCGCGGCAGGGAGGCATTGAACTCAGGCACCCCATCAAAGGAAGGCGGTTTCAGGATGACTTCAAAGGACTGGCCCGAGGTGCATTTGTTCAGCTCAATGACTTCCATGTCAGAAATTACACACCAGTTCAGGTCCACCGTGTCTGCTGCAGAGAGCAGAAAAAGTGCTGCTCAGCCCCTGAACGATATGTGGGTACCCATAAAGCATGCACACCCTATGCATGGGAAATCTGGGGACCCCCAGGAAAACCTAATGACCAGGGTCCTAGGTCAGTCCTGAACATTGGTACCTAAGGTCAGTGGGCCCAGTGGTCTGATGGCTCTTAGAAAGCTGAAGGAGTTTGTAACCACATAGGGTTTCAGGCTCCAAGAGGAGGGGTCCCAGAATATGTAATGTCTGAGAACAACTAGCTGCTTTGGTTTTTGCTTCTGTGGCAAGCCTCCTCATGTAGTTGAGCTCTTGCTCAAGTTGTAGTCTATGGTGACAAACAACGGTGGCTTTTATCCACCACCCACCACCCATCCACTCACTGTTCAACTACCAATCTGATCACTCAGCCTGTTTACATCTCTCCCCTTAATTCCTCCTACCCTGCTCTCTTCTTTCTCTCCAGTCAGCACTGTCTTTCCGCTGGCTTTGATCTTTTCTCCTACACTGTCTCCCACACCAGCCTAAACAGAAAAAACAATCTCAGGTAATCAGAGCACTCCCATCTCTCATTTCCAGACCAAACCCATCCCCTTTTGTTAACCCCCAGGAAATTAAGAGGGGACCTCTTCCTTGATTCGGAGCCCTGGTGATGCAGTGATTAAGAGTTCGGCTGCTAACCAAAAGGTTGGCAGTTCAAATCCACCAGCTGCACCTTGGAAACCCTATGGGGCATTTATCCTCTGTCCTATAGGGTCGCTATGAGTCAGAATCGACTCAAAGGCAATGAGTTTGCATTTTTTTGTTTGTTTGTTTGTTTTTGTTCCCTGATTGGAGTTCACGGGTGGTGCAAATGATTCAAACAGTCAGCTACTAACTGAAAGGTTGGAGGTTCAAGTCCACCCAGAGATGCCTGGGAAGAAAGGCCTGGAGACCAGTTCTGGAAAATCAGCCATTGAAAACTCTATGGAGCACAGTTCTACTCTGACACACATAGGGTCACCATAAGTCAGAGTTAACTTGAGGGCAACTGTTTCCCCCCTACCGTCATCCCCGATGAGGACATTGCCATTTTGTGCTACCTGCCATTGGGGTTCTTCCTGTCACCAGGTCCCACACAGCATGACTATCACATAGTGTCCTTGGGTGGCTGTGGGAAGTTCTCTTCCCACCTCTGGACTCTCCTTCAGCATTATCTACCCTTCACTGAGGACACTTGTCTGCGGTGGAATCTAGCTATTTACACTGTTTTATCTTCTAGTCTAAGTGTTCCCTGAGGGCAGAATCCCTGTCTGGCTCATCCTTGCATTCTCCACAGCATCGATTTGTTAAATGAATGAATAGAAGTTAAGCTAAGATCAAGAACACTCTGTGGAGGATCTGACTCAGACCTTGAACCTGGCTGTCTAGTCCCCCAGGCTACAGCCACACACCCCGCCTTCGTTATTGTGCTTAGACCCTCAGAATCAGATGCAATGATGTCACTGGATCTGGGAAGGAAAATGCGACATGGGGGAGGTTTCACGAAATTAGGGTAGAGGATACTGTCTGTACTCATGAGTACAACACACAGGAGATCTTCACTCCTCATTTTCCTAACTGTGGTTTTCACTTACCTTCATATTTATAGGATGACTTATTCAGGGGATCAGCCAAGAAACAGGAGCAAAACAAGGACACCAGGGGGAGCTCTTTCATCTTCTCCTTGTAGGCTGCAGAAACACCCCAGACAGATAAAGATGGTGAACTCCCCAGACTCAGAAGCCAGCATCTGTGCGGGTCGGGGTGCCTGGGCAGACCGGACTCCTGACACCACACAGGTGCTCAAACCACCCAGACCCATGCCTGGGCTAGGAATCCCTGAACTGCCCTGTTTAGATTTTCTGGTGATTCAGACCTACTCTCTTTACCTATTAAAATTTGAGCCTTCCAGAACACCCAGATGACCTTATCTTTCCTCCCAGTTCATCTCTTCCTCTCATAGTACCATAAGAAAAATGTCCTCGGAGAAAGACCCAAGCACCAGTGCCCTCACCTGACCCTGTCATCCTGGACTGAGCTTTCTAGCTCCCCACACTTGCCCCAGGATACTCCATTTCTTGTGCTCCATATTGCAGAATATCCGCACTCCATTTTTGTCAAAGTGCTTAGCAGTCCTACCTCAAGGGTAAAGAAGCTGGAGAGGAGATAGGAGACCCTTACCCCTTGCGGGGTGGCAAAGTCAGGCTATGCGCCTTCTCTGACCTTCCCAGCATAGTGATCAAAGCCAGAGGGGCTGGTGTCCTCAAGGGCTGAGGTAATGTTCCCACCACCATCTATTGTGTCTGTGTTTGGAAGCATCATGAAAACCAGGAGGTTGCAGGTAAGAGCTGATGGTTTGGTGTCCCGGCGCCCCTGCCCTGCCCTGGGTATTTCACAGCCAGTTTTGTGTGTTCCTGAGAGTTCTCTCCCCACTCTGAGGTCTGTTTCTTGTGCCATGTCCTTGCACCCCAGGCTCCTTCAACACTAAGTTTACTCCCAGCACAGTGCCCAGACTCTCTCCCTCATTTCCTTTTACAAATTTGAAAACGTAACTAACTACAAAAATAATACATGCTTACTGGAAAAACCTTAAAAAACGCAGATGAGCAAAACGAAGAAAAACTCAACTGTAATCCCACCCACCATCTACAGATAATCTTTTTTAACTCTGTGGTGTATTTCCTGTCAATCTTTTTTTTTTTTTTTTCTCCTGAGCACATATAAGTACATATAGTTGTGCACAGAAGTACCCTAAGCTACAGTGCCCCATCACAGAAACAGATTTTGTACCTACCGGCTAGGGTCATGTTTTCTGGGATCTGGTGGCTGAATCTGGCTTAAAGTCACAGAGTGGATCTGTCACCACCTCAAGAAGCTACACACACCTGAGAAAAAGAGAGTATTTTACCACTGACAGGTTATTCTCCTAAGGAAGATCTTTAAGCAACAGGGAGGGGACCTCCCATCTCAAGGCCCTCTCCAAACCAACTCTCACTTTCCCAAACACTGATCCGCAAAGGAGCTCAGACAGCCATTTTCAACATTACACCAATCAGGCTCTGATTCCATGCATTAATGAGAACTTCATAATTGATTTTCCAGTCTCAAGTCCCCCCAAAACCAAAAACCAAACCAGTTGCTGTCAAGTCAATTCCAACTCATGGCAACCCCATGTGTTACAGAGTAGAACTGTTCCATAGTTTTTTTGTTTGTTTTGGTTGTGGTTTTTGCTGTAATCTTTATGGGAGCAGATTGTCAGGCCTTTCTTCTGTGGCATCACTGGGTGAGTTCAAACTGCCTACCTTTAGGTTAGTAGTCAAGTGCAAACCATTTGCATCACACAGGTGCCTTCATGCTACCCAGAGTATGCAAACATAGGTTTCCCAAAATGGTATTGGACAAGGGGTGTTCCCTGTTTCCCTGTGTAGCTCAGTGGCCTAGTCCAAAGTAAGTGTTGGTGTGAGAGACAAATTCCTAAATCAGAGTCACCTGGGAGTTTTTCTCAAAAAAACTGTGTCCTGAATTTCTCCCTACATACACCCTAGGCCTCTGGCCGGCCAATTCTGATACAGGGTGAGAGGGAATTGCCAGTTACCATCAAGTTGATTCTGACTCATGGCAATCCAATGTGTGCAGAGTAGAATTGCTCCATAGGGTTTTCAAGGATGTGACCTTTTGGAAGGAGATCACCAGACCTTTCTGCCGAGGTGCCTCTGGGTGGGTTCAAACTGCTAACATTTCAGTTAGTAGTCGAGTGCTTTACCATTTGTGCCACCCAGAGACTCTAAGAGAGAATTAGACAGAGGATATTAAAATACCTCTGCAGGTGATTTTTTTCCTACCCCCTCCTTCAACTTCCTCCCAACAAACCACTGACTTAAGATCTCCTTGAATCAATTTAAGACAACCTTAGACTGTGAGAAGTAAACAGTAAGGAATAATGTCATCATAATATGCTTAGTGCAAATGTAGAAATCAGCATGCATAGGTTATTGTGGGAGCATGGAGAAGGGGCTCCATTCTCAGCGTGAGACCTGGGGAACCAGGGGGGCCCACTAGTGTTAGTGGCACCTGGACTGAATCTCAAAGGTTGAGTCAGAAGGAGGCAGGAGGATGCAGGTAAGGCATCCTGCCAAGTAACAACACACATGAGGGCATGGAGGTGAGAAAGCATGGTGTTTGCTGTTGGACCATAAAGTGTGAAGAGAGAAGCGAGGAGGAGAAAAGGAAAGGCAGGGAAGGGAGCAGATCTGCAGTGTCTGGGAAAGGGTAGGCAACAGGGCTCCACCTGGAGAATGAGGAATGGACATTGGTGAGTGACTGCCATAAAGACACTTGGTTCTTGACCACCATCAGTAGTCACTGTGCCCACAGAGGATGGCATGAGCCAACGTCCACACTCACTGCCAGTGTCTTCTGAGGCTGACTTCAAGCCCTTTTCCTTCCCATAATGAGGGTGTCTGCCCTCTGGGGACCAGGCTCCATACTGGCTTGGGCCTGGAGTGAGGAGGGAAATGGGAGTAGTGAGCTCTCCTCCCCCTCTGGGGCTAGACCAGTGTGGAGTCCAATACAGATTGCATGTCCCCTACCAGCTGTCACTAGTTACTTCACACTTCTAAACCTCTCTTTCCCCATCATAAATCTTCAGAGTTATACAAATCAAATGAGAAAAGTGTATATTTTGCATCCAACAGAAAGGAGGTGCTTAATAAATGTTAGTTTCCTTTTCTCTTCCTTTTGCATCAATGTAGCTAAAAAAAAACCATTGCTGTCAAGTCAATCCCAACTCATAGTGACTCTATGGGGCAGAGTAGAACTGCCCCATAGAGTTTTCAAATCTGTAATTTTACAGAAGCAGATTGCCATATCTTTCTCCCATGAAGCAGCTGGTGAGTTTGAACCGCTGACCTTTTGGTTAGCAGTTGAGTGCTTAACTACTGCTACACTAGGGTTCCTATCAGTAAGCTACTGGGTGCCAAACCCCTGTTTCATAGTCATTACCTCTGGTCCTCACCACAGCCGTGCAGGTTAAGTACAGCTGTCCCCATTTATTGGTGAGGGGAACAGAGGCTCAGAGGGTTTATGTGACTTGCTCAGAGTCACAACTGAGTGAGATAGCTCAGATCTGACCCAGATCTAGCTGGACTTAAAGTGCCCTTTTCCCTGCAGCATCTCCTTGTTCTTCCCATTTTTGTGTTTTTGGACCAGGGGCCCTTGCCATGCCCCTCCCCGTGTAGCACAATGGACCTTCTCTCCTTGGGAGTCAAGCTGATCCTGACACTACCAGTGCATCCCTGGCTGGGGGTGTGGGCGGGCCTGGGTGCCTGGACGCGACAGTCCTAGTCATGAGACTCCATTCTGCACGAGCCATGCTCATGACCAGACTGATGGACCAATCGATTTGCATGGAGTGAGCAAGCCCTTGCAGGAAGGCAGCCGGCCTCAGAATTTAACCCGGGTGATGGATCAGAAAACCAAAATCAAACCCATTGCTGTCGAGTTGATTCCAACTCATAGTGACCCTATAGGACAGAGCAGAACGGCCCCATAGGGTTTCCAAGGAGTGGCTGGTGGATTCAAACTGCCGACCTTTTGGTTAGCAGCTGAACTCTTAACTACTATGCCACCAGGGTTTCCAGTGAGGTATAAATAGGTGGAAAAGGAGTGGAAGAGAGATAGAGGACATGCTGAGAAAGTAGGAGAACGTAGCTGGGCTCTTCCTGTAGAAGCAGTACTTGGAGTCAGGGAACATGCCCCTCAGCCTGAGCTGGGAATAAGACCTTTCACTCATAGAACACTTTCTCCCACATCATCCCAGCTGATCTTCTCAAGAGTCTGTGCCAGGCTGACAAGACAGGCATCATCAGCTTCACCTTCAGATGAAGAACCTGGGGCTCAGAGAAGTTAAGACTCTTGGCTAAGTTGGTGGTATAGCTAAGTATAGGATCCAGGTTTTCTGATTTGTAAGTTCTTCATTTGTGACCAGTAGAGGAACTGGATGCTAACTAGGATTCCTCCATGGTCCTTGGAACTCAGGGAAAGCCATTCTATCCTGTAGATATGACTTGATAAAAAAACATGTATGAAGTGTCCTCTAAATGAAAGATAGGAGTCCCTGGGTTGTGCAAACAGTTAACATGCTTGGCTGCTAACTGAAAGGTTACAGATTCGAGTCCACCCAGAGGCACCTTAGAAGAAAGGCCTGGTGATCCACTTTCAAAAAATCAGTCATGGATCACCATGAGTCAGAGTCGACTCGATAGCAACTAGTATTGGTTATATGGAAGATGATGTGCTAAGACTTTTAGGAGCAGAAGGAATTAAGCAGAGAACAGAGAAGGTCAGAGAACACAGACAGGGAAGACAAGGGCAGGGAACAGGAGACGTCCTAGAGGTGGACACAAATACACATGGTCAAGGAAATTGTGATTCAGACATCTCCATTGCAGAGGTTGGGTTCTGCATAATTAAAAATACAGATTTGTAGAACACCTACTATGTAACAAACTCTTTCATTTTAATTTTCATAATAATCTTGTGAGGTAGGAATTATTATCTCTATTATATAGATGAGGAAATTGACTCTCAGAGATACTGTGTGTGATATTTCCAGGGTCACTTAATGAATGGCTGCACCAAGGCTGTCCATCATCCTTTCACCATATCTCAACTATCAGTGTTTACACATAGTCTGATTTGTTCCTCAAGATAATCTGTATACCTGTGGGTACATGGGGCCATTAAATCCTCATGCCCACAGTCAAGTTACTTCTATGGCACTCAAGACCCAAAAGATATTGCTGCCAGGGGACACTCTGAGAAAGGATACAGAAGGTAAGGGAATGGTGGAAGGACAAGACTCTTTTGGGGAGCTCAGCAATGCAAAGGGGTTCTAAGCAATTGGGTGGTGGCAACAATGCAGGGAGCTTGACTTTATCCCTAGTTAGCTTGTGGCATCAGCATTTAGTGAGGAGGATTACAACCACCTCCCCAGCACTTAGTCTGGATGTGTAGACTCTAGGTTATCCTGTGGGTTAGACCCAGATTGGATGCACACACTGGGAAGAGTTAGTTATGAGAATCTGTGTACTGTAGGGCTTTCAGAACAGCTCTTAAGTCTCTCTTCTTCCATCTTAGAGACACACCTCTAGCCCAGGCCATTCTCCTGGGCACATCCAATCTAGCTTTAATGCCTAGTATGACCCCAACGGTCCATATACCAGCTTTAGTCCTGGAAGCATGGACCCTCCAAGCTTCTCACAGTGTTACGGAGTCTGTTAAATAGCTCGGTAGTTTGGTCACGTCACGCACAGCAGAACATGGCCTGCAACCAAGTTGGGGGGGGGGGCACCAGGCCTATCACAGGACTGTCAGATAGGGGCAGTAAAGAGTGCTATTGCCCAAGGTCAGAGAAGACAGAATGACAGGAATTCAGATAGGAGGAATAAACATTAAAAGACAACATAGGTCAGAGTAGGCATGAGGCCATGAGTTCAGGCCCATCAGGTAGGAGAGTCTATCAGACATCATCAGAGCCTCAGAAGGCAAAAGCTAGTGCTGAGACAAACTTCTGGCCCCTCCCAGAGGCTCCTCACTTGTTTTCTGTTAAGGCAGTGAAGGAGTTTGTGCTTTATCCTCTATTTAGTAAGGAGCAGTTGCCGTCTTTTGAATAAGGGAAGAGGGGAATGGTAATGCTGATGATAGCAATAGTAATAGCTGTCACTTCTTGAGCACCTACTTTGTACTAGAAAAATCACAGACGTTATATCAATTCATTCTATGAGGTTCTTTTGTAATGAGGAAATTGAAGCGTAGTAGATTTAGGTAAATTACACCAAGTCATACAGTTAGTAAGGGGCAGAGCTGGGATTTGAATCCAGGTGGA